CACATAAGAGCATATGAAATCTGAATCTAAATGTTTGTGGTATTGTGTCAAGGAGGTCATTGTACATGTATGCTCTGCATTGAACCTTGTGACTTTCCACAATATCTTCCGTTGTAGTTATGATACTCGTATCCTCCATTTACAACTAACATCATGGTGTATACACCTTACAAAATAAGTTTTTTTATCCAACTCCGTGACATAGAATTAAAGATGAGCTTTGATTCAGTACTCTTTGATTGCTAGTTGTGCCTCTTTTTTTGTTTCAAACTAAGACCCAATAGCCAAATCAGATGACCGCTCATCTAAAGAACCCCCGTTGGCAGCACATAACTCTGGCATATCAAATATTTATGGACTTCACATAGCATCGTAGTTGATGCCATGCATTGCAACTGCATGATGATACCGGGGCAAATCTTGATAATTGAATTCAAGATCAATTTATATTATTGTCCAAACATTTGGAGCATTCTGCAATCCTTTACATCGTGAAACAACTGCCTCCCATACATCCGCCTCAACATCCAAACCTTGTCCCTCTGAAGCAACCTCAATAATATCAGACTCATCAACTAATGTTGTGTCATCATCGTCTACCGACGGAACAATGTCTTCATCATCCTCGCTAAATTCAACAATGCTTTCACCAAACAGTCCAATAAGGTTCTCATCACCATAACTTCCATGTGGTTGAGAGGGTCCTACTTCTTTTGTTCTTCGAGCTGGTACTGATGATGTAACACCCTCAACTCATATCCAACCCGGTTACGAGTCCAGGATGTCACATTGACTAAACAAAACAATACTTAAAAAAACGGATAAAACATTTGAACTTATTTTATTAAAAATATAATAATATACATATATTAATACAAGTTTATCAAAATACTCAGAGCATACACAACTTAACCCTTTAGTTACATGCCAACATCCATTTACATAACAAAATGACCTACTGATTAAGTTGCTTTTGATCTGATAGTTGTAGGAGTAATGTTGTCCAGCTGCTTAACCTCGATCGTCTACTTTATCATATCCTACGTGTGAAACACTCACACGCTAAGTCATCGACTTAGTGAGGCAATATAATAATATCAATAAATATAAAGGAATTGCCAAAATGAGATGGGTTGCAATGATAAGATGTATGTAAATAATGCAATAACCAGAACCATGTTTCTTACACATATACTTATCAAATCTTATCAAATTCACATTCATAAGTTCACCTTATTAAGTTCATTAGCCCATGGTACCATCCTGAGAACCTAAGGTATGTGAGTATTATGAGGTTGTGCACTATGCTGTCACCACAGCTCGTATAATTGCACTGAAGTACCACGTAGAATTGCACCGGAGTGCCGCGTAGAATTGCACCGTAGTGCCATATAATAATGTCCATAAAGGACCACATATCATTCCTTAATAATTATATACATATACTAGGGATCAAGTATGTGTCTCACAAGACTTCACACATGTTCCAAAGAATATATATATATATCCCGAATGACCGCGTATACCCTCTACCCTTGGCATGCCAACTATATCTATAGTTTTCATCTACATAACATGGGCTTTCTCCATTCACATAATTTGTATCACGTAGACATATTATTTTCATACCTTTATCACATAGACATATAACTTTTTCTTGCATATTCATGTCACATAATTCATATGGTTTGAATTCATGTCATGTATCATAATATGAAATGCGATCATGTATCAAAATATTGAATCTAGACTTATCACAAGTCTAGAACTGAATAGAATACATATTCATGCTATGTATATTCACTCACCTAGATTTCTTTGTCTTTCCCTCGATCAATCCTACTTGTCGATTGTTCCAGAACTCGTTTAAGCTCGATATCTACATAGTAATTCATTGATACTTATCAATATACTAATCAATATATTCTAAACTATCATTTCTTAGGATAAAAGAAAAGCCATTTTCATCTTTTAATGGAGGTATGCATCGATGCACTACACCATGCATCGATGCATAAATCCTATTCGATGTTTGTATTTAATGGGGTGCAGCGATGCACTCCTTATGCATCGATGAAATTGAATGTTTTTCTTTTAAATTAATGCATCGATGCACTTAATGTGCATCGATGCACCTTAAACAATTTCTGGGATTTATCATTGATGCCGAATTGTTATTTTAGCACGAAAATCTCTTCTTAGTCTACTTAACACTTTATATTTCCCCTCTTTTTATATCCTTAACTTGCATACTCTTACTTAAACTAATTATTATCCATTCCATACTTTTAAAACTTAAAAATCCAATTCTCCATGTAGAGTTTAAGAATCTAACCCAAATTCCAACATGTTCTAATTTGAATTCTAACACTTCATACCTCTTAGATAACTTTATGACAAGTCAAATCCCACTTCTAATTCTTATTAGGAACTCTAATCCAAGATTTCACTTTTCTACTTCATTTCTTTAATTCTTCATATTCTCCTCATCTTATGGTTTTAAGATAATCTAAGCTTTCCTTAAGCTTAGTTATCAACAAAGGATCAATAAGCAACCTTAAATTCATCAAGAATTTGATCACAAGAAAACTCACCTTTAGCTTGGCTTCACGGCAGAGAATGAGAAGGAAGAAGAAAGAAATATCCAGAACTTTGTTTCTCTCATTAGCTTTCCACGTGGTTTATTAAATATCCTTAAGAAACATTTAATTATTATTTTTTTCAAAAGACTCATTTGCCCCTTTAGTTCCCCATGCTTTGCTAATTAATCCTACACCAAATATTTCAATCAATTCCTTCAACTTTCAATTTATCAACTTTTATCACTAAATTTTAAAATTTCACAATTTAATCACTAACCCAGTATGGGGATGTTACAGATGATGTCGGAATATCAGTTGCATTTGTCGTCTCGACGTACATCTCCACCATATTATTACCTGATGATTGATGAAGTACAACCATAACAACAACATCGTCATCATCATCAAGATGAATTTTTCCATAAGTCATTGGATTTGAGGAGATCAAATGCCGATAACTTAAACATGAAACAGAAGCTCCAACTTTTTCTATCAATTTTTTGCTTCATTTGGCGATGCGATACATCTACAGGGAACATCATATTGATCGACTTGTCTGACTTAAACACAACACCAACATCATTTTGTAGAATTTCGCCATTATAATTGACAACTGTGAAGAATTTGTTACTCATTGTTTGAAATGTTTTTGGTTAGATGAAAAGAGTTTTTTTTACGTAGGAGATTGAAGATGAAATGGGTGTCTAAAGTTAGAGATTGAAGATGATGTGCATAACTTAAAAGGAATACATATTTTTTCCCGTTGGAACTCGTCACATCGGAGTGAAGAGTTTCATGCAGATAAAATATTATTATTTTTCTTTTAAAAAATTATAAAAAATATTTTTTATTGGGACTCATCATGCTAGTGTGACGAGTTTTTTTAATCCGAGTGTGGGGCCCACCTGACACGACTCGTTAAAAAAATTATATCTCATGGAGCTGTTCAAATTATCGTAGATCCCAAATTAATTGTTTGGACGCCCTAATGAGCTAATTTAATTACATGGTTGCCTTAATGGGCCAATTTGACCTGTTATTCTTCCTAGATGTTATGTGTTATAGAAATTGTGTGTTTGTATAATGTGTATGCATTATAATTAGTTAATAAAAATTATAAATAAATACTACTTTATAATCATCATCGATTGTTCTATAAACCTTCAAAAGAGATAAATAAAAGCATGTCAACAAATTTAATAATCCCATTTCAAATTTTACCAAAGTTTTTTTATTTTGGAAAAAAAACTTTCAATCCTTCAACTTTTAGCGTTTGGATTTAATTTATTTATTTGGTCAATTTAAATTCAACTTTTGTCAAAGTAGTTAAAAAATGCAAATAAATGTTTGTTTTTGAACTAAATTATATATTTAATCATTCAATTATTCTCATAATTTATTTTAATCATTTAATTACTTTTTTAAAATTATATTTTAATTACTAACTATTAAAAATAAAACTATTAATATGATAATTTTTTAATTAATATTAACATGACATTATTTTGATGAGACGTTAATATCATTTTTAATTATGAAGGATTAAAATAAAATCTAAATATAACTTTAAATATAATTTTAAAATAAAACATATCTGTTTCTGTAAAAGGCAGTGTCAAAACACTCGAAGGACAAAAACAAGATTCCAAAGGCGTTGTCCAATGAGATCCAACGGCCATTAAACATTTTATCATTCCCATATAAACGGGCACTATTACTCTCGCGGAATGCGGACCCCACATTTATTTGCAATGATCGTAAGCAGACGGCCGCAGGAAAAACAGATCGGCATCCCCATAATACCCTTTAGTCTGTTTACCAACCGGATTTGATGATTGGTCCACCTGTCACATCATTAACAACCACGTCACCAACCCTACAAGATCCAATTAAAAGCAGTGGTGGTTCTCCCTCCCCACCACTTTCATTGGTTACCTTACCTTCCTTCATTCTAGGGTAAACTTTATTTTAGCCTCCAAAATTGTACCTGATTATCATTTTGGTACATAATTTCCCTTTTTTGTTTAATTTTATACTTAAAATTACAAATTGTCTATTTTTAATTTTATTTTGAACTTTCTCAAAAAGTCGATTCAATAGAATTGAGTTGAGTCGAAACCCATCAAACTCGAGTCTCATGCCCGTTCCTACTCCAAACATAATAAATTCCTTTAAATAAGAAATGAAAAATCAAAGTATAATTTAAGAGACTAAAATAACATTTGACCGTTCTTTCATTAGTATTTAATTTCAGTCCCCTACTCGATTTAATGTTACCAAAAGCATATAAAAATTGTTTTTCTTTCTTAAAAAGAAAAAAAAGAACCGTAAATGCTTTAAATCGTTTGATTTGGTTCCATTCTGAGCATTTTAAATTGTTAAGTTTTCAACTCTCCCGAGAAAATTATGACAATTTTCCGATTGTTTCAGATAAAGAATATTAATCATTTGTAGCTCTTTTGAGCTATTTTCCATTTTCACAAGCTTTGGATGCTACTTTAAACCAGAGAGAAATAATCATTACAATTTGCATTTCCACCTCCTTTGGCCTTTGCTTTCTCATTTCTCTCACTCTCTGGGTTTGCGACTAAAAAAAAGTCCTTTTTTGAGTACTCGGCTAAGCAAAGTAGCGAACTTGGGAGCTCAAGATTTTGAGTTCAGATCTAGAAAAGGAGGTAAGTGTTAAAGTAGTAATTTCCTTTTTTTTCACTAGTTTATGATTCTATTGAGTTTTTGAATTCACCATTTTTGGATTCAAGTTTCCACTTTTTGGTTTAAAAGCTAAAAGAACAAAGAACAAAAAGCAAAGGAGGGGGGGAAGCTGGGTATTTTAGTGTATAATATAGCCATGGATGTTTGCTTAAAGAATTGAAATTGGGTTATTGGTTTTGACTAAAGACACATCACTTAAAGCCTGCAAAAACCCATTTTTAATATGAAATCTGCAGAGCCCACCACTACTTTTTTTTTCGACAAATAATCTTGGAATCTGAGCTTAGTCCTTTGTTAGTTGTTACTTTACTTTCTATTTCTCCAACTCATTTTGAATTATTTTGAATGGTTTCCTTTTGTCTTGTTTGTGTTCTCTATTATTTTGCAGCTTAAAACCATAGATGTAAGAATTAAGAAGTGAGCCAAGGAAGCAGCAGAAACAGCTCGTTTTTCTTTGCTTCAGTTGTTTGGTGAGACTTGATGAAGAGAGAGATGGGAGCTTTGTACATTTTCTCTTGGATTTGTTTGTTGGGTTTGTTTTTGTTTCAAGGGAAAGCAACTCTACTTGACGATAAGCAGGCATTGCTTGATTTTATCAGCAATATGCGCCACTCTCGTTCTCTAAACTGGAATGAGACTTCTCCGGTTTGTAATAACTGGACTGGACTGACTTGTAATGCTGATGGTTCTCGGATTATTTCTGTTAGACTGCCTGGAATCGGGTTAACTGGTCCAATACCTGCTGATACTATCGGCCGCCTCTCAGGTTTGCAGATTTTGAGCCTTAGATCCAATAGTATCAGTGGTCAGTTCCCTTCTGATTTCTCTAATTTGAGGAACTTGTCATTTCTTTATCTTCAATACAACAACTTCTCAGGTCCATTGCCGGTCTATTTATCTGTTTGGAAGAATCTAACTATTATTAATTTGTCCAACAATCGATTCAATGGGAGTATTCCTAGTTCGATGTCGAATTTGACTCACCTTGAAGCATTCAACCTTGCTAACAATTCACTTTCTGGTGAAATTCCTGATCTGAATTTGCCGAGCTTGCAGCAGATTAACTTGTCAAATAATAATCTCAGCGGTAGTGTACCACAGTCGCTTTTAAGATTCCCGAGTTCTGCATTTGGAGGTAACAACATTTCTTTTGGTAGTACCTCTAATCAAACATCCTCGGATGTCACTCCCCATGGTGGACCATTTTTGACATCCAAGAAGTCTGGGAGACTTGGTGAAACTGCATTGGTAGGAATTATAATTGCGGTTTGCGTTTTGGGGATTGTAGCTTTTGCATCTTTGATGATCGTTTGCCGCTCAAGAAGAAAGAGTGAGGATGTGTATTCAGGGAAGTTGCAAAAGGGAGAGATGTCACCGGAGAAAGTGGTTTCTAGGAGTCAGGATGCAAATAACAGATTGTTCTTTTTCGAGGGTTGTAATTATACATTCGATTTGGAGGATTTGTTGAGGGCTTCCGCTGAAGTATTGGGGAAGGGAACTTTCGGTATTTCTTACAAGGCAGTGCTAGAGGATGCAACCACCGTGGTGGTGAAGAGGTTGAAGGAAGTTAGTGCTGGGAAGCGGGATTTCGAGCAACAGATGGAAGTTGTTGGAAGCATTAGACATCCCAATGTGGTTGAGCTGAAGGCTTATTACTACTCAAAAGATGAAAGGCTGATGGTTTATGATTATTACAGCCAGGGAAGCGTTTCTTCCATGTTACATGGTACGTTTATTCGTTCAATCTCTGGTTTATATTGTATAATGCAATTTACTTGTTTTGTTATGATATTATGGCTTCATTCCTTTGAGCTTTTCTTTAAATTTAGTGATCACTCTGTTCTTACCCTACCGGGAATAATTAATAAATAATATAACACTTGATATCATCCTTTTGTGTACTTATATATCGAAATTCTATACCTGACTTAAAGCTTATTACTTTTCTGAGAAAGTTTCAATATCTCACTATCTTAGTTACACTAATTGGAAAAAGTGTTTGTTTTAATACTTTTGTGCTTTAGGAAGGAGGGTGATAGTGGAAAAGATGATTCATACATAATATTATGATAATTTAAGGAAACATTTTGATTGAACCAAAAAAAGGAAAAAGAGAAAAATACTAGATCAATACCATGCTAGATGTGGCTGGTTTATCAGCATATCAACCCGTGACATCGGATTCAGTTCAAAAATGCCTTTTGGGTTGGATAAGATGTCTTTTACAAATGCCTGTTATATTTATTAATGTCATAAAGGTGAAATCTTGATGCCCCACTGTATCTAATAGTTTGTTCCATGCTCCTTCGTAAACTTGTTATGAAGATTGTTACGCAGAAAAGATAGCACACTCGAAGAATTTTCGAAATCATTAATGTTGAATTGAGGTAGTTAGAGTGAACATTTAATTAAGAAACATGTCAGTAATTGGAGTTTGGCTGTGCAATGAAATTTGGATGTCGATTTTACAGGTATCAAAGACGATCTATATTCATCCTTGGTTTCATTTTCCTGGAATAATGCATTCATATGTTCAATTTTTTAATCCCTTTGTCTTTGACATTGGTCTTGATATAAAATAGAAATCTACATGTATTGACAATACATGTGCGTTTCCAGGCAAGAGAGGAGAGGACAGAACCCCTCTGGATTGGGATGCCAGAATGAAAATAGCAATTGGGGCAGCAAGAGGCATTGCTCGCATCCATACGGAGAATTGTGGCAAGTTTGTCCATGGCAACATCAAGTCCTCGAACATTTTTGTCAACTCCGAACAGTATGGTTGCGTGTCCGATATCGGTCTGTCAACTATAATGAGCACGCTAGCCCCTCCCATCTCCCGTGCTGCTGGTTATCGTGCCCCTGAAGTGACCGACACCAGGAAAGCCATGCAGCCTTCGGATGTCTATAGCTTTGGAGTATTCTTACTTGAGCTCCTTACCAGAAAGTCCCCTATCCATGCTACTGGTGGTGATGAGATTGTTCACTTGGTCAGGTGGGTTCATTCAGTAGTTCGAGAGGAGTGGACAGCTGAAGTTTTCGACATAGAACTGATGAGAGTTCCAAACATAGAGGAAGAGATGGTGGAGATGTTACAAATAGCAATGACATGTGTTGTGAGGATGCCGGAACAGAGACCTAAAATGCCAGAACTGATTAAAATGATAGAAGACGTTCGACGGATTGATTCTCAGAATCGGTCACCTCCAGGAAATAGGTCCGAAAGTTCAACACCACCACCAACAGTGATAGGGAGAGAATCCCAAGTTTCAGACCGAGTCATCATGCCCCTCGAGTAGAGCCAATTTTTTTCCATTTCTTTTACCTAGTTTAGCAGAATTTGAAAAATAATATGTTTTGGCTTGTTTGATGAACAAATTGTGTTGAGACTTGAAAGTTGAATCAACTTCATCCTGTTAAAGGTAGAGTGGGGATGCATTAGGCTACAATGCTATGAATGTTGGGAGGTACAATTTCTCTCATTCTCCCTCCCACTAACGGATTGATTTTCATTGCCTTATTAGTAAATGAGTATTTTATTCCAAAGTTGATTTAATTTATCCCCTTTCAATCCATTCCATTGGAAGCTTAGATATAGAATATGAATAAAGTGATCTCACTGGTTAATGGGATCGTTTTATTTTTAGAGGTCTCAGATTTAAATCCAATATTTGTTGGAATATTTGAGCGTTCATTATTAAAGGATTGAGTATTTCAAATAAATATTATCTTATAATCATCTCAAAATAATAAAAAAGAAAGCATCTTTAATATAAAGAACTATATATCAGTTTCGTCAACTTTTACGTTGTTAAATCATGGAGATCTATTGGTGAATATTGGTGTAAATGAATTAGACTTGAATAAAAAATGTTACGATTGTGTTCGTTTATTTATTTTTAAAGGTGTTAATGTTCAGTTAGTTTTTTATTAAATTTTAAATATCGTGTTTGTCTTTGTTTATTTATTTTTGAAGCTATTCGCGTTCGGTTCATTTAGTATTCACGGATATATTTATTTGACGTGTGCGAATATATTCATTAACATTCGTGAATATATCTATTTATATGATTTGAGTTTCCTCCATAACTGACACTCTCTTTCTATCATTTTATTTGTAAATCAAAGAAAAATAGCGAAATTATGTCACTAGTCCTTAAGCTTTATAGTTTGAACTCCAAAATTCATCATATATTCAATTTAATTTATACATTTATCAATATTTAAAATATTTAATTCATAAATCGATTTAATATATATATATATATCAAACTTAATAAAAACATAATTTAAAAAAATATATATATACTCTATAACGATCATCATAAAGTCAATACTCGTATATATTAATATAACATAATTGTAAAATATAAATAAATAGTTATTTATTTAAATTGTATTAAAAATCTCGACAAATACAAGGAATAATTCTAATATATATAAAATTTTTGAGTGATTGTAAATAGTTATTAATTTAATTATAAATAATTTTAATCATAGTTTAAATTTTCTTAGACCTCTCTATTTAATTCTGTTCTTTTTTCTTCCGTTATTTGCAGCGACTAACAAACAATCTAGCGGGGCAGGAGGATCTCTCAGGTACTTCCTTTTTCATGTCTCTTAAGTTCAGGACGATCTAGGTTAAATTTGGTTCTCCTTTTCTATAAAGAAACACAAATTCTGTGTTGTTTTAAGGTTAAGTTTATGGCTTCAAAGCGGATATTGAAGGAGCTCAAGGATCTCCATAAAGATCCTCCTACCTCTTGCAGCGCTGGTTCAATTCCATCCCTTTTATTCTTCGTTTCCTGATATTCTTGTGCTCTTTCTCATCATACTTTTAGTCTATTGTTTTTGAAATTTATTTTAATCTTCCCCCGGATATTTGCATTTTGTTCTTTTAAATCATGAGATGAGATAATCATTGACGTGTAATTGATTTTTGAGCTGTATATAGAGGGCCTATACTAATTGAATTTTGAGTTTTGACCACGATTGTTTCATTGATTTAAACTGCAGTATGTTTCTTTCTTTTCTGTTGTTCTTCGTTGTCAATTTTTAGGTTTTCATCATTGGATTAAGTTTGACACAAGATTGTCAAAACTTCAATTTTTTTTTTCTTTTTCATGTCTTATACACACAAACTGATGACTTATTGGTTGTTGTCTATACCTTTTGTTATGGTAATATGTGTCCATAAGAAATTGTTTCTGTATAGGTGATGTTGTATACATATGATTAGCATGTGATGCTATTATTATTTATCTCATACGGGAGCTCATAATATCTGTTGAATGTACTAAAACTTCTTAGGACTGTAACATCTTATATTTTCTCAAGAAAAACATGAAAAAGGATTAGTATTTTATTTAGGAAAATATTTTGATGTTGACACTGCTGATTGGTCGTTCCATTGAACTAATTCTTTTACGATTTTTATATAATAAGGCCCTGTTGCTGAAGACGTGTTTCATTGGCAAGCAACTATTATGGGTCCTCCGGACAGTCCATAAGCCGGTGGGGTGTTCCTAGTCACCATTCATTTCCCTCCAGATTATCCATTTAAACCACCCAAGGAGCTTAATTGTCTTACTTAACAATCTATTTCTCATTTGTTCCTGGCTTCATTGTTTATTGTGTATTTTTACCTTTATTGATATTACATCTATCCACAATTGACTTGTCTTTTGCTTTTAAAACATGCCACTTTTTTCTCGAGTTTTTTCAAGAAATTTGGATAGCACTCCATATAATTCAAATTCATCATTTTGACATTTTAATCTCTCTTTACTGACCTTCAATGTTTGAAGGGTATTTGTTATTGCATAAATATTTTTAGCCATCAATATTATTTAACTAATTCCTTGCTGCAAATACTGTGCGACCAAGTTGTCCTTACAAGGCAGGTGGCTTGTGCCAATATTGCTCGACATTGAAATGAGTAAACGCTAATTCTACTTGATTTCCTTTTAGATTTTATTTGTTCATTATGTTCCCTGAATTCTTTAATCTCCATCGGACTTGTATGCATTTTGGGTGTCTAATGGCTCATTTGAGTGAAGGGTATTGTTAGGTGGTTTTCAGTGCCAAAGTTTACATGGTCTATTGTTATTTTTGCTTTTGTAAACAGCATCAGGTAAGCCATGTCTATTACATGCATGTGCATATTTAGTTATAGCTCCTTGTATTTACTATAGTTTACTTTCTTGGTTAAACAAAAATATTGTGAATGGAAATATATTTATAACTTTTACATGATGATGGTAATGGTTCTCGTTTATTGAAGATAAAATAACTGAAAGTTTATTTTCAAATAGTATTATCATTTAGTGATGACCAATTGACAATAGCTTCTCAATGCCGAGCTAGACTGCTAATTCCTGTAGTTACAGTGCAAATCATGTGATAAAGGTAATTCATGCTTTTTTTCCACCGTAATGGTGTATAAACGTGCTTGTTTAGCTACTGATTTATGACTAAGAAGTTTCTCTAGTAGTTGTTCGGCTAACTTTTCCCCCCTTTTATTATTCTTTTTAGCCTTTTGTATTTTTGCTTCCATTCAGGTTGAATTCAGGACAAAGGTATTCCACCCTAATATTAACAGCAATGGTAGCATTTGCCTTGATATTTTAAAGGAGCAGTGGAGCCCTGCCCTCACCATATCCAAGGTTACTGTTCGACATTCCTAACCGCCTTAAACTGTGTACATCATTTAATTTGAATTTACATTGCCTTGTTGTAAAACATGAGCCTTACCTGATACTGTTTACCGATTTAGAATGAAACAGCTGAAATGTAGTCCTTTAAGATTAAGCTTTTCATTTACTGTCCAAGTTGTTTGTGCAATCTGGTGGTGACCCTGGTCTAGAAGATATATTATTCTATTATGTAAAAATTTTGCCTGCCTTTGTTTTTTGGTATTAGGTGTGGGGATGTGTTCTTATTATATCTAATTTTGATTCTAGGTGCTGCTATCAATCTGCTCACTCTTAACAGATCCAAATCCTAATGACCCTCTGGTGCCCGAGATTGCCCACATGTACAAGACTGACAAGAGCAAGTACGAGACGACTGTTCATAGCTGGACCCAAAAATATGCTATGGGTTAAAGTGGTGCCTACTTATGTAACAGGAGGGCCTCATTAACTGTGCTTTTGATGTTTAAATTAATTGTGTGATATGTCTCTTTATTTACGAACCTAGCCCTCCTTAAAACACAATATTCTTGTTAGTTGTCTGTATGAAACTTATCTTCCCACTTTTCTCTCAACTTTTTCTTTTTATTTTACCTTTTGTGACAATGTTGTTGTCTAGTGACAGCCGCACCGACAATGTACAAAATTTTGATCGCGGTGGATGATTTCTTTGCATAACCAGACCAGTCGAAAGCTTGGAAGCCCCTCCCTTTGAAGCTCGAATCTATGGATGTCTAAGCCCTTAACTTACAGTTCAATATCCTGTTGGACTACTGGGCTGGCTAGACAGTATGTTTACGGATGCGCATCAACCCTTGATTAAGATGAGTTCTTGTAGAGCTGTAAATAAGACAAGATAGATCTCGAGTTATTTGAATTTGATTCGGTCAAAATTTGATTAACATTCGATAATAGATTTGACTCGAGCTTAAATATGACTTGAGTTCTTAACGAGCCGAAACGAGTTATTTGATATTCGATTCAAAAAATTTATGAACAATTCGAAAAAAAATATTAAAATTTAAAATTAAATTAAGTTAGTAATAATATTAACATTTATATGTTTTCTAAAAATGCAGGATAAAATTTGTATGTACTTAAAGTTTGAGCCGAGCTCGAGTTCAAGCTTCAGTCGAGTTAAGTTGAGAATGTTTTGAGTTCAAGTTTTTTAAGCTCAAATTGAGATTCAATTTTTTATTTCGAGTTTGAGTTGAGTTTAACTAATTTAAGCTCGTGCATTTAGAGTCGAGTCAAGCTCAGTTTAAGTTTTTTAAGTCAAGTTGAGCTCAATTTTAAATTTTTTGAGTCGAGTTAAGTTTAACAATATTCCAAAATGATTTTTTCTCATTTATAAACCTAAATCTACGGATATGGGGTGTTTTGAGTTTGAATGTGGAGTTAGTTTAACATGTTCTTTTAAGTGGGGGTTATTTTATCATAAGATATTTAGGTTTGAGGTAGAGTGGTTTCTACAAAACTTTAATGGTGTCGGGAAAAACAGTTGTAGAAGGCTACGGAAGAATAACTGTATTTATTTTTAGATATAAATATATATATATATATTTGCAATGATTCGTTGTGGTAGTGAGGGAGTAAATTGAAGATGAAGAAGGGTGGTCCTCATTTTCTTTCTCCAAAAAAAATAAAACTAAATTTTGCAGTGGGAAGTAAGTAATGGTCTGAATTGGTTTCAGAAAAAATTGAACACCAAAAGTAGAAAAGAAATTAACTTTTGAAAACTGTCCAGATGGTGATTGAATTGGTTCTTTCATCATTAAAATCAAATCTTACCGTAAATGAAGCAAACAGGTATCAACCGACTTCAAATGCACAACTGATTTTATTTATTTAAAGAACCCCTCCAAATTCAATGCATTTGTACATTAACGTATTTCGTGTATGAAATTTACCTTGGGAGAGGGGCAAAGAACGTTCATGTCTCCTCCATAAAATGGCAAAAATGTAATTGCATGAAATGTGGGTATTATATTTTATGCAGTTGCAGATCCTAAGGACAAGAGAAAAAAAACTAGGTCATCCCTCTAAACCTGTGCCCACAAAATCCCACTTCACAGCTGAGCTTCTCATTTTTCATATATAAATTTTATGGTAAACTACACGTTTAATACATAAGCTATTATTTTGTTCTATTTTGATACCCAAACTTTTTTTTAAATCATACTTAATATTTAGTTTAAATTTCATTTTAGTATCCCATCTGTTAGATACTTAATGGTGATGTTGACATGTCAACATAAGATAATGTCACATCATCATTAAAAAATAAATAAAATATCATGTCATTAATTCTATTAATTGTTTAATAAATTGAAACATAAACTAAACGTTAAGTATGGTTAAAAAAATAAAATTTAGATACCAAAATAGAACAAAATTAACAATTTAGATACTAAATGTATAGTTTACCTTATATTTAAAGTCAAGTGTGTAAAGCCTTTGAAAAACAAAAGGTTATTAGATTAATTTCAACATTGGATATCTAGTAGCAAGAATTTATTGAGTAACTTCCTTGTAAAAGGGAATATTATTATTTTTAGAAGATCTGAATTCGAATAATTGTGTTTGTAGGATGTGTTCGTTATTAATAATTAAGGGAATTATGAACACTATTAATTTATAATCACCCCAAACTATTAAAAAAATCCAACCCCTTCCATTTTCTTTCTTTTCTCCAACATAAGGTTGTAAAAAATGGGGTTCTATTTTTTATATAACTACCACTATTTGATTTATTAATCGATTAAGTAGGATCAAATACTACAGAGGCGAGTGTGACACTTCCAACTCAATTTGTTAAATTTGTAAACATTAGAATTTGAACCTCTAACCTTACATAAGAAATCTAATGTCTCATCTCACTAAGTCAAATGGTTGTCAGTAAAAATGGGATTATGAGTAAATATTCATATGTTTGGAATTACTCAATAGGCAAGAAAATTAGGTTGATTAAATATATATTAAAGAGAAAAAGAAAGGTAGAAGCATTTGAATGGAAAGTTTTCAAAAAGAAAGAAGATAAAAGGGCAGAGACGTTGGTAAGCCGGAAAGTAGGGCATCAAACCATGCACTGCTCCTGCATTTTTGTTACTTTTTATTGTCTCATTCCCATGGATGAAAAGACAGAGATGCCATCAAAATTAAACTTTCTAAAATATTACTTTTATCTTATACAATTTGCATGCTTCTTTAAATATATATATATATATATCCCTCGTAAAATGATAAAATTTAACTTTTTAATCGTCGTACATGTTCATAATAATATTTAAGTCTTTTTAATCTTTAATTAAATTTGATTCTTTCTAAATAAAAAGCTTGACTTTATTCTTTTTTTCACAATTATTTTTCAGATATTAATGATGGTTTTAATAATGTAGGGTGAACCCTGCTGGCCGCAGGGGGTAACACCCAGAAAATAAGGTCTCCCAACCCCTATTTTTTAATCACTCCATTAATGTACCTAAACCGACGTGAGTGACAGATCCACTCAAATATCTCCCTCATTGTACGTGGCATGTCCAAATGACAGGTTATGCTGAGGTGGAAATAAGTACACTTTGATTTATTCGGCTTCCTCCCATATAAGGTTGTCCTATAAGTTTGTGAGAAAAATAATTTCTCTATATAGGACATTCACCATATTATTTCTCGAACTAGGCTTTTTATTGGTCTAAAGACGTCGTGCACTCTTGGAGTCTTCTCAATTTGCCTGAAGATGCCATGCACTTGTGGATTCTTCTTCATTTACCTGAAGATGTCATGCAGTCATAGAATCTTCATATTTAGCTTGAAGACGCGTGGAGCACCTGACGTTTTAGGTTAGTACTCTCTAATTCACCCTAGATGAGAAAATAATCTACGGAATTAACTATATTGAAAATTAAAAATTCTCACTTACATTGTCTCATCCATTTCTCCGATTTTCCTATAATAATAAAATTACAATTTATTTAATTTAAAATGAATAATTGGTTCTCAAATGATTCTCTAATCATACCTTTGAGCTTCATTCTCCTTTTATATAATAATTGGGCACTTCATTAAGAAGCCGATGTTAAAACCCATCAAGCTTATTGATGGAAAAGAATGTTATATTTTTTTTATAAATTTGAGTTTGAATAATTATTTATAAAAGAGAAAATAACCTCAGTGACCAAAAATGCCTTATAATATACGATTTTAACCAATTTTTTTTGGATTTGCCAAAATGACCAACTAAATCGCAATGCGATCGATAATTCGCAACGCAAATCTCCGGTATCGCAAATCAGTTTCCAGATTCGCAACGCGATTCTGACTATCGCATTGCGATTTCCCAAATTCGCGTTGCGATTTTCCTAATTCGCAATACGAATACGTAAATCGCAATGCGAATCTGGCTATCGCAATGCGATTTACATAGCGCCATTCGTATTAACGCGTATTTTTTTTCAAATTCCAAACACGAATATATTTAATATATCGGAACACTGAACCATCCACAATATATCCCGTAATCGCAACTCATAACCTAAAACCCTAAATCACAACTCAGTCTCATCTTCATCTCTCACTCTCTAAGGCGACATCCGTCCCCATCTCCGACGAAATCAGTCCCCACGACGATAATAGTCTCCATCTCCGACGAAATCATTCACGGTTAGAAATGGAAAATCAACCAAATCAACCACCGAGGGTTAGTTTTTTTTAATTATTTTTATTTTGAAATTTTTGCATTATTATTAAGTTTTTCATATTGAAATTGATGATAAGTTTACTGGTGTTTTCAATAATAGATTAACCATTTCACTTAGATTGCTTATTATATTCATTCGATTGCTGCCAATACTACTAAACTGTTTAGTCTTTAACCCTGTGAAGTTAGTATTTGTCTTTGTTTTGTCTTTTGGTTGAAGTAATGCAATCCATTCAAGTTTCTTTCAATTTTAGTATTTGAAACCGAGAATGACTATCGCAACGAGTGAATCGCAATGCGAAAATGACTATCGCAATGCGAATTTGACTATCGCAACGAGAGAATCGCAATGCGGTTTTCATTTCGCGTTGCGATTCTTACGTTGCGATAGTCAAATTCGCGTTGCGATAGTCATTTTCATGTTGCGATTTTCATTTTTGTGTTGCGATTTAAAGTTTCAGAAACTATTCTTCTTCTGCAAATTGAAACTTGAATGAATTGCATTACTTCAACCAAAAAACAAATACTAAATTCATAGTGTTGCAAATTTAAGTTTGAAGAATAAACTACTACTCTTTATGTTTATTGTTCATATCTTCACAGTGTAGTTTTTGGTATATCTAAATTGGTATGTTTATTGTTTTTGCAGAACTTTTATTCGGCTCAATTGACCTTAAGAAATAAAGTAAGCCTGGCCAAAACAATTGCGTCGAAGCTTTCACCTGTACAAAGAAAAATATTTGAGGATACTTGCTTCGGGCCATGGCTGAAAGTACAACATCCGGGTGGAGATGCTATGTTGACCCATCTGTTTCTTCAAACCATGACTAGCGATCTACCAGAGACTATACAACGTCGTGATGAAGAGATATGGTTTGATTTTCCACCGACGTATACGTGTTTTGGGCGGGAGGAGTTTTGCTTAATCACCGTTCTACGCTTCGGACACTATGATGTAGATTGGTACACTAGATATATTACCCGCCTATCATGGTTTTCCTGGGTTTTTCCTGAGCAGTCAATGGAGAAGTCGAATTTACACGTGGAAGACTTGACGCGATTATTGAATAAGAAAGATGGTTTTACTCGGATGGATGACGTCGATGTTGTCCGATTATGCCTTCTAATACTTTTGCAATCCGGCTTTTTAGGCAGAGAGGCCCGACAACCTATTCCTAATGATCTAATTAAATTGGTAGAGGACCTAAATGCATGGAACCTGTTTCCGTGGGGTTCGTATCTATGGAGAGCTACATGGAATAAGTTGTCGTATGCCTTTAATGATAGGAAAAGTTTGCGTGGCGATGGTTCCAAATACACTTTGTCAGGCTTTATTTGGGCCTTTAAGGTAATAATTTTTATATAATGTTTCCAAAATTATAATTAATTCTTTAACAATTACTAATGTTTGTTATTATATTGTTTGTAGATTTGGATATTTGAGGCCTTTCCCACCATGCAGACATATGCATTAAAAACTTCTAATGATATTCCTAGGACTATTTCCTGGAAGAGGAAACAGTCCTTACAACAATGGGAAGATTTACTACCGTATACTACAATAAATAATGTAAGTTAACACAAATACTATCATATGTTTATAAACAAGTTATTACTAGTACACGTTTAACTTTGTTTGAGCTTTTATATTGTTAGGAGGCCAACACTCCATTACAGAGGCTGACACCCACGAAAGCTGAGCTTGCCACTGATTGGTGGCAAGCTACTAAGCTTTTTTTTGATGGAATGGATGATGAACAACCACCACTTCGAGAGCCATCACCTCACCCAGAGCCATCACCTGATCGACCCGAATATACACCTCCACAACGAGAGTCATCACCTATTCTGTCACATCATCGAGCCTCTTCTCCACCATCACCTCATGATAGGTGACCGGCAAAGATGCCACAACGTTTATCTCCCTGTTCTCCACCTCCACCTCCACGGGATGAGTTAGGGGAGTTACGTAATGAGGTCAATGCCTTGCGTGAGGAGGTCGGTACTTTACGCAATGACAATGGTACATGGCGTGTTGAGGTGTCTATTTTACGTGGTGGGGTAGCAGCTCTACGTGAGATTGTAGCATCGTTGCAAAACGAGGTTCATACTCTACGCAACAAGGTAAGTTTAATATTTTTCATATTTAACTTGATGATAAATTTACTCGTAATTTCACTTAGATTGCTTAGTAAATTCATTCGGTTGCTGCCAATACTGTTTAACTGTTTATTCTTTAACCCTGTGAAGTTAGTATTTGTTTTTTGTTGTCTTTTGGTTGAAGTAATGCAATCCATTCAAGTTTCAATTTGCAGAAGAAGAATAGTTTACTATCGCAATGCGAAAATGACTATCGCAACGCGAAAATGACTATTGCAACGAGAGAATCGCAATGCGAAAATGACTATCGCAATGCGAATTTGACTATCGCAACAAAAGAATCGCAATGCGAGATGAAAATCGCATTGCGATTCTCTCGTTGCGATAGTCAAATTCGCATTGCGATAGTCATTTTCGCATTACGATAGTCATTTTTGCATTGCGATAGTCATTTTCGCGTTGCGATTTTAAGTTTCAGATTCTATTCTTCTTCTGCAAATTGAAACTTGAATGAATTGCATTACTTCAACCAAAAGACAAATACTAACTTCACAGTGTTGAAAATTTAAGTTTCAAGAATAAACTACTACTCTTTATGTTGTCATTGAACCTGCACTAAACCTATATATTGTCCTTTTAAATGTTTATATAAGTGCTTACTTCTGGAATGTTATTTGATGCATTTTGTGAACAATGATATAATAATGACTTGGGTGAATACCGTGCAAGTTTGAAATATATTTGTCTTTGTTCTCACTATTTAATATCATGTCTGTTTATTTACTGATTTATGTATTAATTTATTTTTAGCGGCCCGCTAAGGTGGATGCTCTACGTCGGATTTTTCTTGCAAGACGGAGTTCACGCATCAGACGGCGTGCACATGCCATTACGTCTCCGTTCACCCCAATAGTGCGAAGAATCCGTAAGAAAAAGCCCGAATCACCTGTCATCGTTCAAGAGGCCTCCCCTATCGTTCAAGAGGCCCCTATCATCCCTCAAGAGTCCCCTCTCACAGTTCAAGAGGCCACTGTCATCGTTGAAGAGGTCCCTCACAACATTCTAGAGCCCGATTCACACGGCATAATATATCGAATTATTGAGAAGCCCCCTCACGTGCCGGACATGATGGATGACTGTTGACTTTCGTATAAGTTACCGGCCAGTACCATTCCGGTAGATGAAGTGGATAGGAAACAACTACCGGAAACAATTCTGGATAATACCCTTTGGGCTAAAATCGCAGTTGATTTTTATCTACATGAGCGGAGCCAAGGGTGTTACGCTGACATATACAAACTCAACGATGATATGCATTTGTTGATTGAACGGTCTTGGTGGGGTGTATTATTAGGGGTTGAAGACAACGGCTATTTCGATGGGGGGTAAGTCTTATATTTCTTATATTTCAGTTTGATTAATTTTTTTAAAATTTATGTAATTCACTAATATATGTCTTTTTTTGTAAAACAACATATTGATGCATGGGTGACACGTCTTTTAATTGTAAGGAAATTGAAGAAAATTATTAAAAAAACGCGATATACAATTATGCCGACGTCTTTTCACGTAATTCACTTGAAGAATCAACGACAGGAATCATATGTGTTGGCTAATGGACAAGCTAAATTTTATCTTGCATGGTGAGAGGTCGATAAGGTTAGTATATTTGTTTAAATATTTTAAGGGTGTTCATAAATAAGTGCGCAATTTGAATTATTACATTTCGATGCAGGTGTTTATCCCTGTTTTTGACCGTACTCATTGGCTTCTCGTCGAGCTTCAGCTCCCATCCCTAAAGATAATAGTATATGACAGCATGATAAATTACATATCATTGTCTGATTTGAGAGATATGATTAAGGGATGGAGCTCTCATTTGGCTAAATTCTTGGATGCAATTGATTATTGGACTAAGTCTGGAAACAAGAAGCCAAAGAAGTTCAATGTTACAGTTATCAGAGACGAGACCGCGCCACAACAAACGAAGAAAGCCAGAGGGGATTGTGGTCCTCTCGTATGCATGTGCTTGGAGCGTTTGACGATAGGAAGTACACATTTTCTACCTCCCACCGATAGAGATAGAGGTGCAGTAGGCTTGTGGTTTCGGCATTTTATGGCTAGAGCGATATATGCGAGACGCTGCCTACCTGTATTCGCGTTATGAAAGTGTCCATAAACAATTTATAAGTCAAATGCAAGTGTTGTTAAACACATTTACTCTTTTTGGTTTGAAAATGTTTGGTTAAGTAGCTAGAATTCAATAATTTGTTGTTTGTAGGTTTTAGATGTGTAGAAAGTGTTGTTGATTCAATGTTTGGTTTCTGCAGGTTAATCCTGAAGTGAGCTGCATGAAATGGATGTATGGGTGCAAAAGTTGATTTCATTATTATTTTTTGATTGTTTAATTGATTTGTAAAAGATGATTTGTAAATGTTGATTTGTTTAATTGATGTGTACATAATATTTGTGCTTGTTTAATTGATTGAAATGTAATAGTTGATTTGTTGATTTCAATCTGCATTATGTTGAATGCAAAACAGACTATCGCAACGCGGAAATGACTATCGCAACGAGAGAATCGTAATGCGAAATGAAAGTCACAACGAGTGAATCGCAATGCGAAACTAATTTCGCATTGCGATTTTCATTTTTGCATTGCGATTCACTCGTTGCGATTTTCATTTCGCATTGTGATTTTCATTTCGCATTGCGATTCTCTCGTTGCGATAGTCATTTCCGCGTTGCGATAGTCAATTCCGCATTGCGATAGTCATTTCCGTGTTGCGATAGTCATATTCGCGTTGCGGTTTCCGCATTGCGATAGTCAAATGAATGTCTAATAAGTGATAACAACTGAACATATCATAGCAATGTTCAAACTCAAGTTACTAATACATGCCTAACTGAAAATGTTAAAAGTTCACACATAATATACACATAATACAACGTTTGCATTTAAAAATCACCTAAGTTAACAGTCCCAAAAGGTGAAGCCGGTTGTGATTGGGATTTTGATGAGGATCCATATTTTGGTAGAGGAAAAGATGAATGTGATGGCACTGGTGATCCACATGTCAACCTTGTATGACCACTTTCCTTGCACCGACTACATGTCGATCTCTTCTTCTCTTCACCATTAGACGGTATACGATCGTGACTTTTTGGTCGGCCAGGTAGCCTTCTGTCCATGGCTGATGGCAAAACTGCTTGTAAGTCATCTGGTATGTCCCACTCAGAAGGATGTGGAATAGGGTAGACAATCTCGCCATAAGTCTGTCGATATACTTCTGTAGTGTAGCAATCCATAACGTATGCGCTTGAATCATCTTGGTTTAGATGAAGAGAAACTTTTATAACATGGCCACACAGATAACCAGATGTTTGCCATTTCATACAACTACACGTCTTTGCATTTAGATCGACAAGCCCATTTAAGTTATTATCCAGTACTTCAAACAAAGTGTTTGAACATGGTTCAACTCTCCATGACGTTGACTTCACAACACGTTTCGTTATCTTTTTTTTCTGTCCATGGTGTAACACGATATTCCAATGTTCCTGTAAATTTAAATAAATAATACTTAGTAAAATATATGATAAGTTACAAATTTAAAGAAATAATACCTGCATGGTTTCTTTTCTTGTAGTACCATTGTTGAATAGAGGCTCGAAAAAACTCCATTAACATAGTAATGGTAATTTCCGGGAATGACGACTTAGAGCGTTGATTGATTCTGCACTATTAGACGTCATGAAACCATATCTTGCTCCAAGTTGATGTACTCTTGACCATCTTTCAAAGCCGACATCTTCTAGTGTTTGAGCACACTGAGGCAAAACACGTCTTAAACAGTTTATATGCTTATTAAAATCCACTTCCCGATAAGCTTTTACAACCTTCCAGTATGTCCATTTGTGATTTTTTATACCAGCAGACCTTGATTTTAGATTTCTATACAAATGAACACCACAAAGTCCATGAAAAGCATCTGGGAAACACCTTCTAACAACATTGTCAATTGAGTTTGCCCTATCGGATATGATTGTCAGATTGCTAATAGGACCTATGCAATCCCTAAGATGCCCCATAAACCATGTCCATGAATCAGAGGTTTCAGATTTGCCAACCCCGTAAGCTATTGGCAGTATCCCATTGTTAGCATCCATGGCTACTGCTAATAAGTTTACTCCAAGGTATCGACCTTTTAAATGTGCTCCGTCAACTATAATAACTGGGCGCATGCAATTAATAAACGAACGAATCTACAAAATCATGTGCACAAGAAATATAATCATTTAAATGTGAAATGCATGTAACTAACAAAAATGAGTCAACAAAATTATATTTATTTACTAACCACAGCACCAATGGCGATAAACAACAACTCAAAGCGTCCATCTCTATCTGTTTTGATATGAGTTACCGACCCAGGATTTTTCAGCTTTAAATTGTGACAATAAGCCGGCAGTTGGGAAAACGATGCTTTTGGCGACCCCCTCAACAATTCCAAGGCATAACATTTGGCTCTCCAAGCTTGAGAATATGAGATACTAATCTTGAACCGAGCATTCATGTCAGTCATAATTTCATGTCCCCGATATACCCTACCATTCAAAAACATTAACTCAACCAGAAAACCACCCAACACCTTTTTGTTTGCTTGTCTATGGTGAGGAAAAACTTGGGTTCTTGAACATGTATGTTTATCAATAAAATTCCTAACTTGAAACATTTTTGCAATCTTTTATCCTCTTTGCAATCATACGCCACATACAGTTTTTGTCAATCATACGCCACATACAGTTTTTTGTCAATCATACACCTTGTTTCGAAACGATCTTTGCTTGATTTGTTAACTTTTAGTTGATAGCCATCTTCCACACATTTCGTATACAAAGCTATCTTCAAGTCTTCCTTTGTATCAAAATAATCATCTTTCTTGATACGAATAATTTTTGTGTAACAATCAACTGCTATCTTTACCAACTCTTCTTCCGGTATCTGAAGTAATTCTGGCATATTCCAGTTATACTCCCGTGGCATTTTCTTCGGGGACTTTTCTTTGGGGATTTCTTCTTCTTCTTCTTCAGTGTTATATGAATTACACATAATGGATGTTCAACATGTTCATTTACAGTCGTAACTTCCTCCTCATTATCATCAACAACATCTTCCTCGGCAACGGCTGTTTCATCATCAAAATTCGGGTATTGACCAATATCAAAATCATTACACGCAGGGTCTGTTTCTTCTTCTGAAAAATCATCAAAATTCGAGTATTGACCAAGATCAAAGTCCGGGTATTGACCAAGATCAAATTTCGAATACTGACTAGTACTCACAATATTTTCTGTTGGCTCATCATCGTCTAACTGGTCAATACGAAAACCGGAATTTGGTGCTGAAAGTTGATTGGGATTTGGATTAGGGAAAGGTTTTGGGTTTTGAGATTGTGTTTGGTATTGGAAATGTGGTGAAACAATATTTGCTTGGTGATGAAATTGTGGTGGAACCATTAAATTTTGAGCACCATAAACTGGGGTTGAAAAACTTAGTTGATTACTACCCGCTACTGACCCAACTTCACTACTTCTAGGTTCAACAACATACAATGTAACATCATCACTTGAAACACTAATGTAAGCAATGAATCGTTCAACATCTTCATTGTCGGTTAATAAATAAACTTTACCATTTCTC